CGCGGGGCGGCGGGCCCCCCCCGGGGAGAAGGGGGCCCCCTGCCAGTGGCTGCGCCCGCCTGCTCCCCGAGCAGCTCGCCCACAGGCGGGCTCTCGTCATCCTACACCCTACAAAGATAACTTCACACTCTGCCGTGAGTGTGGTCTTCCATTCCTTTCACTGTCCTATCTTTTAGAGAGGCGTGACCGCTCTGGGGAGAGATACCGTGCTGAAGATCAAAGTTTTACTGGGCATGTGTCCCATTAGAAACCTCTGGAGACTGTTAGGCTCATAGGCTGTGGTTTCGTTCTCTCCATCTGAAATGCAGATGCCATGTTTTGGTTTCAAAGATAAACTTGAAATTCAGGTAGCAAATAATGAGAGAGAGAGAGAGAGAGAAAAGATATTATTTTCTTTTCTTTTTTTTTTTTTTTTTTAATTTCACTCACATGTAATTGTGATGGGGGGCCCTGTAAAAAACAATATATCGCCTCTTTCCTGGTATGTGTGTATTTTAGAGGTGTGAATGTATATTATGCATACATACACACTCTCACACACATATAAATAACACGAGCTGCACACAGAGATAGTCAGTAATCAGGAACGGGGGTACAATTAACAATACACCAGAGGCAAAGGAGACATGAAGCTCTACCTGGACAACAAGAAGCAATTTTGCAACCTATACAGTGTCTCAAATAATTTCATAATCCTGGTTTGCTAGCTTGCTACATCTGTATGTGATTTCAATTGAAAGTTGTTGGATTCCTTGGAGACAGAAGAGTTGGGCTAGCTAGATGTGCTTACCTGAGATCCCAGAGTTAATGATAACCAAAGAGCTGGGCAGATCAGTAATGGGTTTATAATTCCTATACAGCTTCTTGCAAATTTGTAGGAAAACTTTATTAAGTCTTTCATTCCTTCATAAAAATGTTGACGTTTGTTAGTTTTTGCTGAATGCAGACTTGATTTTTATATTAAACTGGATTTATTAAAAGGATACATAACCCTGGCAGCTGCTTCCACGTCTCGATGTTTAAACGTTTGAATCAGCACCCTGGAACCACCCTCCCACCCCAACCCATCCCGTCCCATCCCTTCCTGTCCCGTGCCATCCTGTCCCGTCCTATCCCATCCCGTCCCATCCTGTCCCATGCAAACCCATCCCTGCTATTTTTTTTTTTTAAATTGTTTAAAAAATACTATCCTACGAAGCCTCCCTAGGGATCCGCTTATGAAAAATGACGGACTGCCTCTGCTGATACTGCTGTTTGCGTCGTTTTCGTTTGTCACACTGGCATAGCAGTAGCATCTTGAAAGTGTTTCTGAATGTTTTGTTACACAGTGCATAGCACATGGGGTTCACCGTGCTATTGATGTAGCAAAGCCAGTACCCCAGGTTCCAGAAAGTTTTGGGGATACAGCTGCAAAAGGTGTTCACCAGAACCATGATGTTATATGGGGTCCAGGTAATGATGAAGGCAAACAAAATGGCACTGAGTGTCTGTGCTGCTTTCTTTTCTTTGATAAGTGACATTCGTTTTCGCTTTGTGATCTGACTCCTGGTCTTCAAGGCAAATTTTTTTGCCAGGGTTGCTTCCTTGAAGGATAAGGGCAGGGCTGCAGATGTCTTGGTCACTGATGAGATGCCATCAGAAGCTGCGGTTGTCTCTGCTGACCCCGGCTGGATAGGAAGCTTAGAAAAGCTCTTTTGGAAATTTCCACCGTCCTGAACACTTTTGGGAGGGTGCAGTTTTTTAGGCTTCTTTTCCTTCGATTCTGTGTCAGATTTCTGCAGTTCATCCCCTGACTCATGCAGATCTTCTGAAGAGGGTAGTTTGGTGGAATTGAGGATGGCGCTGTGACCAGGGAGCTTCAGCACGATTGAGTAGATGGCTCTGGTCTCTGCAGCGATGTCTTCTTCGTCAGAGGAGGCCGAATTTTCCAGAGAGGCAGCAGCATCGTTGTTGTTCCAGCTGTCGCTGCTGCTGTGCTCTTGGTCCCCCTGGTCTGTGTTGGGTTCCCAGCTCTTCATTGTGAGCCAGAAGTGGCAGCGCCTGTATTTCCTTCGGGTGGAGCGTTTCGTGCTCTGCCGCTGCAGCTCGTAGCTGCTGCAGCTCCGGGAGCTGCCCGTCTGGTGTAGGAAGCGTGCTGCCTCTGCTTCGCTGCCCGAAGCCTGGAGCCCTGCTAACTCTTTGGTGCGTTTCTCAGTCTCCTTGTAGATCCTCCAATACAAAATACTCATAATGGTGACTGGCAAGTAAAAGGCAGCTATGGCAGTGCCAAAAGTGATGATAGGTTCACTTAGAAACTGGATGAAACATTCATCAGGAGGCACAGTCCTCTCCCCAACAAAATACTGCCAGAACAAGATAGCGGGGGCCCAAAGAACAAAAGAGACAATCCATGCTAAACCGATCATCACCCCAGCCCTTTTGGTTGTTCGTTTGGCTCTGTATGTAAGTGGCCTAGTGATGGAAAAATACCTGTCAAAACTTATGACGAGGAGATTCATGACAGAGGCATTACTGGCAACATAGTCAATGGAGAGCCAAAGATCACAGGCCAAGTTTCCCAAAGCCCAGTGGTCCATGATGATGTAGGTGGTGTAAAGATTCATGGAAATAACACCAATGATTAAATCGGCACAAGCAAGACTCAACAAGAAGTAGTTGTTGACTGTTTTCAGTTGTTTGTTAACCTTAAACGCAACAATCACTAGGATGTTTCCTATGATGGTCACCAGTGCAAGGATCCCAGTGAGGAAAGCAATCAAAACTACTTGCCAGACAGCATGTCCACCCAGAGGGTCTTTGCTTGTGGCATTTAGGGACATGTTCGTTGATTCCACAGCAGAGAAGGGAAAACTCTCTGTGGTCTGAGGGAAATCATAGCTGCCAATGAGTGACGCTGCTTCATCAAGGAGTCCTGGTCCGTGTGAATCTCTCTTCCAGAAGGAGCTCACATTTAATAACAGGGACGAGGCTGAACTGTTATTTTGCATGATCATTGTGGCTCTCTGACATAGTCTGCAGCAGGGTAAAAACAAACAAAAATCGAGTTAAGAGGTGGAGATGGTAAATAGATAATTGCCTTCATACATAAAATCCCTTTAGCACTTTCAAAGGCATCTTTAAAAGCCAATCTGCCTGTGACAGATTTCAAGTCAAACGTGTACATGGTAGCACTCAGCTTACAGCTGTGATTAATTTGAGCTCTTTTTAGTAATCATATAGTGTTTCCCTGAAACCATTAAGTTAGAGAAGAATGAAAACCCCAGAAGAATTTGAATCTGCTGTAGTATTAAAATGCTGCCTAACTCTAAATCTTAATCAAAAAACTCCCTGATGAATCTGCCCTAAATTCTACATCTCAACAGCCCACTATCCTTGAGCCTTCGAAAACTAAATGCCAGACACATGCAGGCATAAATACTCCAAGTTGAAATCAGTGCTGGTCCCCAGTGCTGTTCTGACACTAGCAAACACAGGCTGAGCCTCTGCTGCCTCCAGCTACTGCTAACGACAAACAAAAATATTGTTCTGCCTTTCCTTAAACTAGAGAGGAACAAGCCAGCATTGTTTCACTGTGTGAAGCTGCTCTAAACTGTGAGGCTGCAAAGAACTTTTTATTTTTATCCACATTTCGGCTACTTGATAGAGGTACTAAAAGTTCTCATTAGCACTTTTTGGACATGCCACTATTCCTTTTTCTTTCATGTTTTTATACCTAAAGGATTTTGTACATCTAATGACTTGAAAATATCTTTGGGGCAACACATGTTAAAATTTCCTTTGAAAATATGGTCTCTAGAGTAAGGAAAAAATATTTGGCAGATGTATGTCAAAGCAGTCATTAAATACTTTAGAAAAAGAGGAAAAAGGCATGAAAAGGATTCATAATTAAGCCCTAATTCTTCTCCCTAAGTACTTATGTAAAATGAAGACATGCTCAGAATAGGAATTTGCATTTCCCTTATTTCATTAACTTCTGTGGTCAACTGAAGAGATTCATTGTAATAAATTAATTATATCTTAGAGAAGTGAGAATTCTGATGAAAAAGTCCATCACTTACCATAACTATTGAACAAAATATGCTGTCAAAGAATAATGTTTGTTTGTTTTCTAGCTGTGAATCATTCCGGAGTCAGTATGATACAGCATGAGATATGAGTATCACAATGCACTTGTGTTAGACAAAATGTTCAGTCAAAAGAGGAAAAGCACACTCTTATTTTTCATCCATATCCCCTCAGGCATACTCCTACCAGCTCACTCCCTTGCCTTGACCAAGATGACATTCATTTACTTGTCTGTAAAAAGGCAGATCCCACATACTCAAAATCATAAATGAAGGCCCATGGAAACCCTGTGTATAATGACATCCTCCTTTGATGAAGATAGTGAAGCAGTATTCAAGTTTGGCTTGTCCCTTACAGTGCGTGGGTGAAACAAACACACAGTTCGCTTGTGAGCAACCACTTAAGCAAGTGTTGACAATGTTCTTGCCAGTTGTTTATGGGCCAGGGTGGTTACTCACAATAGGGAAAAAAAATCTCTGACTCAAACAGTATTGCTGGAAACCATCCATCTTGCAATGTTTTACTTAGGAAGCAGTCATCTTTTCCAGAGCTGTCAGATAGGATGAGGTCAAAACCAGAATAGTATGAGAGAGATCTGAAATAATGATAATTGCTAAATATATGCCAGAAATTATTAATGTTATAGGGTGCAGATCTTCCTCCATTGACATGAGGGACAGAAAGCAGATGAAAGCCAGAAAGCATCCCCTCCATAGACATACACTTGTAAAACCTCTACAAGGTAACAACCAACACAGTCAAGTAGTCATTGGGAAGTCTGACAGATCAGGTTAGATGGTGATGATATTATGACGCTTTTTCATAAAAAAGAAAGACAAGTTGGTATCTTCCCATACAGAAGAAATGACCAGGCAGAAGGTACTGATAAAGAAAATGAAACTTTTACTACAGGGCTTAGAATAAAAACCAGTAGCACTTAGAATTGGTAGTAGAAATAACAGTGTTACTCAGAACTAAAAATAGTTGGCAGTACTTCCCATTTTCATTGCGTAACACAACCACAAGTGAACCTAAGTGTTAGCCTTGGAAGGAAAAAAATAGCTACCACACAAAAGACACAAATAACCATGCAAAATTAGTGTGCAAATGATGCACTACCACTAAGTCCATAATATAATTATATAAAATATATACAATCAGTTAACATATCTATCCATCTAAAGAATATATACTTACTTGCCTAAGTTTAATGCTATGCTATTCACTGTGGTTTGGGTTTTTTTTGCTCCTGTTTCTACTTTTTAATAGGACCTTATGAAAGGTACAGGCTACAGAACACCAGAGGCAATGTACACGTCCCACCATTATTCAGAAAAAGCGTAGGCCAAGTCCAGTCAATGGCTATATGAATTTTCACATACATCCTCCTCAATGTACCTCTGGTCCCTGCCTCACTGGAGTGACTGAGAAATTAGTTATCCCACTAGTACTCATTGGAAAGGAAGGAGGAAGTAGCGACAGAAATGGTCACTAATTTCAATAAACAGATATAACACAGATTTAAAAGTCTGGATATTTTTTTAATAGTCCTCATTCATTGCATGTTGCTGTAAGTAAAAAGCAAACCAGAAAAACCAGTAGGAACAGTTCTGTCACTCATTTTCACTGCATTTAATTTCTCTCTGCTTCTTTTTACATTTCAGCATTTTTTTTTGATACTTCAATTTTCAATTTAAACAATTTTTTTTCTTTCATTAAACGTTCCTATTCACAAAGACACTTTTTTTTTTTTTTCAGAGAAGTCTATTTTCTTGCTGGGCTCTAAGACGCATTTTCTGGGAAGTCACATGGCATTCTGTCAGATGGCTTGGCTATATGTGAGCTCAACAGCAGCAAACGTTCACAATTGGAGAATTTCACATCTTATCTGTTTGCAAAGATGAGAAAATTGCTTATTATTCTATTTTCCTCTGCGTTGTATTCCCTCAGCATATATTTGTTAGCCTAGACAGCAAAGACCTCCATGCAATGAACATAAAACTGTTTTGTAACATAAAGAAACCAAGACTTTAGAATATTTAATGCAGTTACCTAAAGTAGCATGATAAGCTTTCTTCCAAACTAGCATTTGGTAAAGTAAAAATATATATGAATTTTAAAGTTTTCCTGAAAATTATTCTCAAATTCACATATATATATTTTTTCAAATCATACAGGTTTTTCTTTTTTTTTTTTTTCCCCAAAATACAATGAAGAATTTTAAAATCTTGAAATGAAAAAAAAATGAAGATACAAATATTCACACTAGCATTCCTGGTTTGAAATTTATTGTACAGGAGCTCATGTCAATTGCAGCTAGTGCAGCACAAGACACAGGATTCCTTATGAATCTGTATATGGTAATAGGAAGCACAATGTAATTATCAGTGAACAGGACCTCAGATTTACCATGACTTACTTATACTGATGATTAACTATATTACATTCAATATCCTTTTGTGTCTTTGTAGAATGAGAATACAGAGCCACAGAAATCGATGCCACTGTGAGATATCCTGGTCACTGCCTTACCTATTCACACTAGATACAAACAGATAATGATACACTCTTATGCTTTTATATATATGTACATATAAACATAAGAATAGATACATACGTCACATACAATGTGACAAAATATGTGGATATAGAGCTGCAGATGAAAGTACATGTGCACATATACACCCACACATATCTGCAGTTATATATACACACACATTTTTCACATTATTCCAAATATTGTTATAAGGAAAGACTATATCTTTCACTAATTAGCTATAAACTTGATATAAATAAAGCTCAGTCACACATATCCACAAAGATATTTTGCTTCTCCTTACTAAAGTTACCTAGATTTAATGTCAATGCTGTTAAATTGTTTTTGTGATGAGGGAATTAGATTTATTATTTGCTTACTGTGTTGGTGCTGCTAGTGTGTTAGATTTAGCATGAGCAAACTAAGAAAGAATTTCTTTAATCATGTGTGTTATTTTCATTACTTTGGAGAGCATTTAGAGAATCTAATGCAGAGCTCTAAAGCTGTACCTGATCTGTCTCCCTTACTGCCCTGCAGTCAGAGAAGGGAGCATCCCTCCCAAGGAGGAGAGGCAGAGTGATGCTACCTCAAGTGCTTCTGCTGGGATGTAAAGATGCCACATTGGGAGTACCTCAGACTGACAATCTGACAGAGCCAGGAAATCCAATACCTAAAGCTAGGTCATTGGGAGAACCTCATTTATGCCTCAATCTGCCATTTAGCTTTTACCAAACATCTACCATACCGCCCAGCTATACCTGCGGCACCCACTGCAGGCCTTGCTTGCTTACACTGTGTTTGCTATTACAATATTTGCTCTTACAAACACCTTACTTCATGTACTATGAACCCTTCACTGAGTTTTCTTTATATTACGATGGAAATGTAGCTCTGAATACTAACGTGTTCCAATGGTCCGTGGTTTCAGTGGAAACATCTGCTCATTTACAGAGCTACAAACGTAAGAATAAATACTGTGTTACCATTAGGACCAGAAAAGAAAAAAACTCTCAGACATGCTGCATCTGTTGTCATTTCAAAAATCCAGATGTCTGTTTCTCATGCCTTACACTTAGGACTTCCATTTAAGATTGAATTCATTACATGATCTATATAATTCTCTTGCAAAACTTTTTCCAAATGTGCCATACATAACAAATACACATCCTAGTCTGCATGGTTAAAAGGACAGTGATTTTAACAGAGAGCCACATTTACTAAGGAAGTGTTTCTGTACTACTTACTATTTATTTTTTAGCCTCAGTGACCTAATACACATTCACTCCACAACTTTTAGTTTCAAAATAATACCTATCTTGAAATCCTCTAAAACTATTCCAAGGGGAAGCTTCAGAAATGAGCTACTAATCTCAGTGGTGGTGTGGCCTAAGGGCAGTGAGGGTTTACCAGGTGT